ATTTACATTTCTCTGCAGCACAATCTGTTAAGTCCCGGATTATGAAAGTTACCCTTGCCATCTTACCTGAGTTTCCAGAGTTTTTTTTTTGTTGAAACCAAGTATAATACAGAACTCAAAATAAACTATAAAGGTGCATTCCTAGACATTCAGCTGTTGGGAATAGAGACTGTCCAAAGGCTGACCTTCAGTTTTGAGCTTCGAAGTTCAAAACTGGACAGGTGGAAATATTGTGTTCTTCATTGCCCTTTGGTGTGAGATATATTCTGGGTTGCAGAGGAAGTGCCAACAGCAGCAAAATTATCGCCCCCTCCTGCTACGATAGTAAGTCAGCAATGGCCCTTCTGTGGTCAAAATGGCAGACTCAGCAGCAGCTCTTTGACAGGGATTTGCAAAAACTTCCCCATGGCTGTTCGAAATCTTATTCAGCAGTGTCTTTGAAGACCCGATTCTGCGCAGAATTCACTATGTAGAAATGACCTCAATTGTGATTTTTTTAAAAAAATGTGTTCTAAACAAATATAATTGGTAATTTTGCTCGATGTGTATTTTGCACTTAGTACTGCAAAGTCGATTAGGTATCCATACAAATATCCAGCATTCATAAGTTTTATGCTAGTTCAGAATTTTATTTCCATTATTAACGTAAAGCCTTCCAAAATTCCTGGCTTTACAGAGTCAGTTCGCCATACAAAGCCACTATACATCACTTAGGTTTGTGATGAAAGAATGGAATTGCAGCTGTGTGAGTACTAGAATACCCAAACATGAATTAGACTCACAAGCATTTGGCAATAGTTCAGAAAAGGAGCTTAATCTGGTTTCATCTGAGACTGCTTTTCTCTGTTCTACAACATCCCCCCAAGATGTTGTGTCTGATACCGGATCACAACGTAATGGGAATGACGCAAAATCAGAGAAAGCTCTGAGAAACCGGGGGCACATTTGCTTTTCCCCAGAGATAATTTTTTCTCCTACTTCTCCCCACCCCCCCACCAGATCCCAACTCTGAAATTCAAGGTCATTCACCTATTAGATGAATTAATTATAAGCCAAAAAGCAGCATTCATCGTACTCTGATCTCACTCATATCTATAATTAAGGGTAAATATAATCTTCCTTTTTAGAAATGTACCACCCACCCATTACATCTAAAGTGCTGACTGAAATGAAATAATAGTTCAGAGCAAGATGATTTTAGTTTAACAAGAAAAAAGTTGATAATTTAAGCTCGAAGCAGTGAGTTCTATTTTTGATTACCATTCAGTTATAAATCTAATTTGAGATATATGCTGCTTTTCTGTTACTCAAGTTTAATTCATGGTTTGCATTCTTGGTTGCATAAGAGAACTTCAATGGTTGATCAAGGATGTTAAAAAGCTCCCTGCCCCCCCCCACCGCCCTGAAGGAATTGGGGCAGGGGTTGAGAATGTGTTAGACTGAGACCCAGATCTGATGTAAGACAAACAAAAAAATTTAATAGAAAGGGACCCTCATAGAGAGTTCTGCATTTGGCATTTGAAGGGCTCTGGTGGGACTTTGTGCTGAAGGGTTGGTTGTCGGGGGTGGGGGTGGTGGACCCCAAGATATTTAAACCCAGTTAACAGAGTCAGCAGGTTCTATTTTTTGGTTAGGGTATTTTAAGTCTTAAGATTATTTGTCTTCGGAAGAAAATAAGGAGCGAAGAAAGGGAAGGGCTCATCACATCACGTTGCAGACAGTTAAACAAAATGCTCAACTATGGGTTTAAGATTTACAGGGTAGCTGTGCGAGATGCCACATCTTGCTTCCAGTGTTTCCTGGCGGACTCGGGCAGCTCTGTACTGGGACCCAGCATAACCACAGAGCATGAGCTTGCACAATGCGGAAACCCTGAGACCTTTACAGTCTTATTTAAGGCAAAGACGAACTGGCCTATTTTGAACGTAGGCTTTAGCTTCCAAACAACTTTTATTAAGTGAAAATTTGCGCCTCTCTCTCTCTCTCTCTCTGTATATATATATATACATATATATATACACATACACTTGTGCAGGTGAATTCATATGTAAATGAATGCCTTATCCATTTTGTGCCATATTCAATTTACCTTATTAAATGGAATGCCATTAACTTTCTAAGTTCATAAACTCAGGTTTTTTAGCCAGTGGAAATTTTTTTTTCTCTTTCTCCTCGGTAAAGAGAGTTAAACGCATGACGTAAAGGCCAAACAATAGTAAATGGTTATTGTTCATTTTACAAGTATACTCTACAATAGGAACACATATATTTTTATCTTAATTTTCCCTAGGGGGGTGATTAGGGCCCCCTTAAGTATGAGGGAATGCTTATTTTTGTTGCTTTAGAAGAATGATTCTATTGTCTGAGAGAAAAAGAAAAAGGAACAAATAGGTCTAAAAAGAAAGAAACAGGAATGTGCTTTGTGGAAAAAAAAAAGGGGGAGAAAAAAAGATTAGCGTGAGCCTTTGCTTGTGTGGAAGTGCTATCTGGTCTTAGTCCTCTGTCACTGTCCATAGTTCATGTGGCTGCACACGCAAGGTTTGGGTGCATGATTTAGTCACAACTGGCCCGTGAAATGATTTTCTTTTAAATTAACAACAGTAAGGTCAGCCACAGCCAGTGAGCGATCTCCTAGTTATCATTTTCCATTTTTCACAGCTCTGCTGTGAAATGCTGCTAAAACACAGTATAGCAAACTTGTTTGTTTTTATGTTGACCTATTGAATGCATCTACTTTCTTGGGAGTGGAAACCTTTGCCACCAGGACCAACAAGAATTAAGCAGTGGTTAAGCTCATTAAGGAGACAAGCAAGCATTTCAACATATCTGCTCAGTCCTTGTTGGAATATTTTGTATTATTTGAGAAAAAGATAAATGAAGAATGAGGAGTGATGTCTGCCTAAAATACAAAGTTTTCAATAATGTCATCTTCACACTCCTCTTCTCATGAAAGGAAGGCTTATTTGTAAATTTCCCAGACTGTGAGGAGGTTGTGATTTAAATCACTCACAGCTTTTTTTGATGGAAATTTCAAAGAAAACTTGGGCTTAAATAAAGATATTGTTAGTAAGATTTACCAAGAGTGAAATATCAGGTTCAGATTCTAAAATTCTTGAATGCCATTTATAATAAATCATTTGATGTTAGGCTGTTGGATTCCTGATTTGTACAAAACTATTGCAAAGAGCTCTGTATTTTAGTTTGTCCCTGGGTAGCATTTGGATATCTTTCTTAAGTTCGGAAGAGGCAGCAAGAGAACGTGGAGATGTCAGGTTTTTATCTGGTAAATACTCTGGCTTTATCTGGTATCGATGTGGCAAACACGGAGAGACTCGCCATGAGTTTTCGCTCAAAATGAGCCTCCAACCTAAAATCTCCTCCTCGAAGTTTTATTTTAAAGTAACGTTCGTCATGCATCCCTTGGAAAAGTCTGAAACTGGAATCAGCGAAGGCAAGCTTGTCAGTAACTGATTAGTCCTTTATATATTACTCATCCAGCACTCACAAAAATCCCTTGGAATAGAGAGGTTCTCTTTATGATATTTAGCTATATGGCCCTGGAAAGGGGAGGCTTGAATTTTTGATTTTCCAGCTTATGGGTCATATTTGACCAACTGCTTTCACTAGAAGACATGCCACTTTGTTGAGCTATTTAGGAATCAAAAAGACTGTCTTAATTTAAAACAAGGACTCTTTGTTTTAGTTGGTGACTGCCTTGTGAAATTTTTCAGTTCTCAGCGGGTTAACCAGGGAACAGGGGCAGAGTCATAATTGGCCTATTTAGAGTATTTTGCATGTGAATAGTGTGTTAGTGAAGCATCCCTAAGTCTGTTGTGAGTGACATGGTGATTAGAATTTAGATTAGGGAAAACACATTCTGTACTTTATCAAGGACAGTAATTAGTTCAGTCAGTAAAAGTTGATTACAAGTAACGATAAAGTTAGATTTTTAGTACTTAATTTTAAAATTTCTTTATTAAACAGTAAATTTGTTCTTAATATAAATGGTCGTATCTACACTTGTTTTCTTGCATATCAGACTAATTAAAAGAACAATGTGTTCAATGCAGAGTATAATCAGGCGATTTATATATTATGGGTAAGTTTTTATGTAGTTTTTAGACATTGTAATATTATTATGGAATCTTTCGCGTGTCATCCTTTTCGAAAGTTTAGTCATTTATCACCCTGTGGTAAGTTCATGATATTTGTGAAAGTTCTCTAGGGCTCAGGTAAATGTTTAATCTGTGGGGATGTGTTTTAGCTTCCAGTAGTCCTCAAGAGGGCATTCTCATGTCCTTTAATTTGTTCCTGTTAGCTTAGAATGCCTCTATCTCTGTGATTCTGGAAGTTAGTGTGAGATTTGAGTTTACGCCCGGCTCCGCTGGCATTTTCTCTTCTGTGGGTGCCGTGTAAATCCGCGGAGGGTAGAGCTGTGCCAATGGAGAGAGGCAGAGTCCTCAGTGGACGGGAGCGTTCTCCACTCACCCCCAATGTGAGCAGCGGGGGGAAGTTGTGCATGCGTCCAAAAAATCACATTCTTCTTGGGTTCTTGTGAAGGAAGGGCAGGGATAGTTCCCAGAGAGGAGCCCAAGTGTCGATTAGAAACAAACAAGCAAAAAAAAAAAAACAAAAAACAAAAAACAAAAAACCCCCAAACCACGAGTCTGACCTAAATGCCCTCTTCTTAAAAAAAAAAAAAAAAAAAAAAAAATTAAAATGTGAGCTGTCTTAAGATGAAAATACTATTGAAAGAGAATCACCTTCTTCCACCTTCCTCTCAAAAGCAAAGAATTAACAACAACAAAAAAAAGAATCACAAACTTTGGGCTGGCTTCTGAGATTGCTTTCCCTTTTGTTTGGTTGTTTTGTCATTGTTGCAGTTTTACCAGATGCTGTTTTGTTTATTGCCTGGGTTTAAGTACTAACAATCAGTTGGGGGGGTGGTGAATGCGGAAAAACTAACCTTACATGTTTGTTTTCCCTTTTTAACCTTTTAGCAGAGTCTCCTTGGAGGTGACATGGATATGGGCACCCCAGGAACCCTGTCGCCCACCAAACCTGGCTCCCAGTATTATCAGTATTCTAGCAATAACCCCCGAAGGAGGCCTCTTCACAGTAGTGCCATGGGTAAGGTATTCCTCTCTCTGAATGCCTGAGTGATTATTAGTCGTCTTTTTCTTTCTTCTCTCTTTTAATACCACCCTTCTCGCCCTACCCTCACCCCACCCTCCAAAACCATAAAATTTTCCTCAAATGTCAGGCTCGTGACCACCCCTCCCCGGTAGTACATTGGATGGGTATGTTAACAACTTCTAGTAGCAAGAGAACTATTTTGGTGTATGCTTATTTCTTGTTTTCTCTTGGCTGCCCATATAAGGCAACTTAAAAAAAAAATCAAAGCTTAAAAAAAGTTAAAGATCTTGATTTTTACGAAAAAGGCAGAATTTGATGTCTGCCAGAATAAAATACGATAGCGGTACTGACATTTTGCTAAGGTAACGACTTAAGAAAATCTGGTCTAATGTAAATGGCTTCGTGGTGTAATCTGTTTTAGTTAGGAAAATGGGCATGCGGGGACCTCACCGCCCCTCTTCCTTTTCTTTCAGAGGTGCAGACAAAGAAAGTTCGAAAAGTTCCTCCAGGTTTGCCATCTTCAGTAAGTACTGCTTGTTTCTGTTTTTGCATATTTTTTATTTTGTTGTTTCTTACTGATGCGAGGGAGAGGGGAGTGACAAGGTGCTAGGCGCCAGAGCTGCACGTTTCTCTAGAATATAGCTGGGGTAGGAGCGACCCGCACGTCCAGCCACCTGACCCGTGTGGAGTGATTAATTGCATATCCTGGAAGGCTGGGTGGTTGTGTTGATACTCAGCAGGTTAAGCTTCGAAGAGAGCCTTGAAAAGGTGCCTGAAGTTGGAGGAGTTTTACCTGTACAGGGCTTTCAAGAGAATGAGTATTAGTTTCATCTGTTGGTTAAATTCTTTGTCGGTATTATGATGATTTGTGGATTTGCATGCGAAAGGAGATTTGTGGAGAGGATTTAGGAAAAATTTACATGGGTTTCAGCCCAGAGTGCAGAGAGAATGTCTCTATTTTCTAGAGAGGTGACTGAATAAAAGCTTCAGAGGTAGCCGCATCAGTAGCCATTTGTGTCAGGAGTACCAGGTGACAACCAGAGGAAACATCTGTAACCAAGAGCATTCTGGGTCTTTTTAATACCTGGAGCTGGACTGGGGCGCGGCTGAGGTCCTTCTAGTCTCCAACGTAGCAAAAGGCTGTTGTGATCACAACTAAATAAGATCTCTTTATTTTCAATTCTAACATATATTTTCAAATCTGAGTTCCTAGATGGTTTTGTTTAATTTGGTTTAGAACCAGTCTTTCCCTAACGAGCTTCCTCCTTACGTAGAATAAAAATATGAGTTCCTCTCTCCTTCCTTCCTACCTTCCTTCTTTCCTTCCTTCCTTCCTTCCTTCCTTCCTTCCTTCCTTCCTTCCTTCTTCCCTTCCTTCCTTCGAGATAGATACAGGTATAGATACACAGTTTTGATTTCATTTAATTTAATTCTGGGCTCGGTAGGGCACTAGTATTCTTTGAAAAGAATGCTAATGAGCCCTATTGTAAGTTCTTCTCCTCTGAAATAAAATGATATTTGGGTTTCTGAAAACATATTACCAATCAATGCTCGCATATTAGTTTTACTTCATTTTTAATAAATTAGGAGAATAATAGGTTTTGCAAATGAGCTAAGATTAGATTAACCCAAACACCTGTGTATTTGACTTGATTTCAGTTCAGCTCATCCAAAAAATTATTAAGTGAATATATCAGAGTGAGTCTTTATCAGGAAAAAAACACAAATTTTGTATGCTGATTATCATAGACTTGGTAATGTTGTAGAAGCATCACAAAATTATCCATAAATATAGAAAAATATTGTGTAAATAAAACTGCCAATGGTGTATAAAATTGTCACTTTGGACTACCAGTAAGTCACGTAAAAATGTACCGAGTGGTTTATTCTTTAAATTTCTATGCTGTATTGAAATTGACTAATATCCCCTCAGGTTTTTATAAGCATATTTTAAGCTTGAAGTTTGTGGTGGATTTAATGTAGATGAAACTTTAGCTTTTAATAGCTTTTATGACAACTTCAAATGATATAGTCCTCACAGCTGTTTACATTTTAAACATGCCTGAACCTAATACAGACAGTATTAAATGCAGTAAGTGGACCTTTGACTCTTCCGAAATGATAGAATAGCTGTGTGTCATAAAAGCCATGGAAAACTTAAAGTTATAGAACCTTATTTATGCCTCAGAGTCAAATGAACTTTGTTTTTTCCAATGCTAAAATTATGCAGAAATCGACACAATTTCCAAGGAGTGCTTTGGTATGGCATTAGATAATATCTATCTCCTTAATCGTTGTCAACAATAATTTCTCCTACTTCATTGTAAATTTTTAAGTATTTCCCTAGAGCTAATTTTCCCTGTAGAAAATTTCACTGAAAATAGTTAAATAGTTTTTTCTTTGCTGTTTAGACAGTTTGTATGTTGTTGATGTGTTGTCAGATGTTTAGAAATATAAAAGTGTCTTTCCTTTCTTCCCAGTAGATCTGGAATTGGAAATTTAATTTGTATTATTTAATTTTTGGCTTTTGATGGTCAGTTCAGGATTTACTCTTCTTAGACAATTTATCTTGGCTAAATGTTTTAATGGTCCTGAAAGAACATTTTTGTAAATAGAGCCTGTTTTTGGAATGGCAAGGAGGAAAATTCAATTGGAATGGAAATTTTATCCTTGTTATTTTTTATTTGTTTTTTCTTTTTTAAGCTAAAAAGAATGACTTAGTTTGGTCGATTTTAGAATCCAGTCATCTATTTATTGTTACTACTTGGAAAAAAAATCTCAGCTCTGTTGTAATCACAATTTAACTTAGTTTATATTGGGTTTGTTGTATGTATTGGATTGCTTATTATTTACAACAAGATCCACATGCCTTACCACCACACAAAATATATATGTTTTAATTTGATCTAAAGAGTCTGCAATAGTCACTGTAGCACATTTGCCCCAGTAGACCCATATTTTCATATTTTTAGACATCTGCCATGTTTATTCTTTTTTTAAGCTCAAATAAAAATGATGACTGTAAATCTGACAAGAGACACTTCCTAAAACTTGCTTCAGTATGTGTGAATACTTTTATTACAAATAATAAGAAATTGGGGCTAATCAAAGGTTTCCTTTGGAGTGATTACGACTAGATAAAGACATTTATATGTTTTCTGCGATACATATTTACCGTGATAAATAGTAATAAATCTGTCACAATCTGTTGTGTCAACTCACTTTTTCCCCCTCCTTTTCGACATGGGCCCTTTCTCTTCCTTAACCTAAAACAAAGAAAATTTAAACTGTAACATCTGTAATCAGATATTACTTATGGCATTCCAGGAAGACAGAGGCTGGACCTCTTTGTCGCCATTAGTCTGGATCTTCACAGGAAATGAGAGCGAGGGGCTCGCCTGGCCCTGTTTTTCAAAATACTGCAGCATCTGTGGGAGAGAGGAAACATAAGCCTGGCCCAACATCATGCCATGGATCTGGCAGGATCCTCGAATGTGTTTGTGCTGTGCATTGCCTCTAAGAGACCTGGAGTCACGGCGGAAGCGTGACACTGATAGGGCGGCGGAAGAACCATCCTGCGGGGTCGCCTTGCACAGGCGCAGTGGAGGGGAGGAAGTCTGGCCCCCTGGACCGCAGAGGCCTGGAGTTAGGGCTAGGGTGATGTCTCTTTAAAGGGAAGGCTGTGCGAAATGACAACTCTCTAATTGCCCACCAGAGCCCTGCTTAGTACTGCAGAACATTTTCCAGTTCTCTGTTCAGATCGCAGTATGTTCTTTTCCATCACAGACCAGCTTCTTGTCGCCCCCATCTCTTGATGGGAGTTCGACAGTAAAGCTTCGTTGTTTGTTGACGCCAGCATTCCTTTTACCTGTCTGATTTCTTGGATCTGCACGTGAACTTCCAGTCTGATTGCTATGTCTTGGATTTCTCTTTTAAATCCTAGATCTCAAACTTAACACTTTTCAACTCTACTGCTCTTTCCAGCAGATTTCTTGTCTTTGTATAACCGCATCGTCATACATATTGAATCCTGAACTCATGCGGAGAAAAATATACCCATTAAATCACATTTTTGGGGAAAATGATCCATAATTCTTAGAAATTTACATGGAGGCATTAAAATCTAGAAAGCAAAAAATTTTCACATTGTGCTGTTCTAAAATATTTTTTTTTCCACACATACATAAAAAGCACAAAGATATGGTCTTTCGAGAACTTTATTGTGCCCACCAATATGGAAACACAGAAAAACTCCATCTTCTTATAATTTGAATGTGAAATGACATACATTTAACCAGAAACTGTTAACAACAGCAACCAATTCTACTTCGAACATGGGTGGAATTTATCTTTACTTCCAACTCAGTTTTGAAACTTCAGGGACAGTCTCACTGTCTTCCCCATTTGGAATCCCTGGAACTTTAGATGTCTCTAGAAAAAAGAAGTTTTATCCTTAGAAGTAGTTTACGGCATGTCTTATCACCAGGGATTTTTCCAAACTGAACTTTTCAGTAAAGTCTTTTTTTTTTTAATGTTAAATTACAGTTGTTTTTTCTTTGTTTGCTTATAGTTTTCAAAATCACATAGATCTGGCAAGCTTTGCATTAGGTGGTCAGAGATAATTTTGGACACATGGGTCCTAAGAACAACAATCTCTCTGATAGAAAAGATTCTAAAATAAGATTTGGGCACTCCAAGAAACTTTGAGATGAGTTAATCATTAGGTGGACTTGAAAAATAAAAATTCAGTGCGTATAAGACACCAGGCTTTACTGAGTTTCTTAACAGAAAAATGCTTAAAGAAAATAAAATCTTAAAGTTTAAATGAGACTTTCTTTTACAGAAGAGATTATTAGGAATATCAGGAAAAGTTGGGTAATGTTGATGGCATTAAGTGTCCTGTGCCTTTTACAATATGTAAAAAACCTTCATATTCAAAGGTTTTAAAAATGAGGCAGAGTTCATACCTTAAAATATTTTTGGGAAAAAAAAAATTTCTTTTTCAAACGCTTGAGGAAATCACGATGTAAAAGAGAAGTTGGTAATCATTTTTTTTTCCTTTTGGAGGCTCAGAAATTATGTATGATTGAAAACTTCAGTACTTAAAATATATCATTTCCCCATCACTTTGAAATTAATCATAAATCACAGTAATGCTATTATATGTCAGCAGAATTTTAACTTGAGGGATAATATAGCTTTTGTTACAATAAAATTTATATTAATTTTAAAATGAACTTAGTGTCAGCCACCTGGACACCATCCTTTGTAGGAAATTCTAGAGTAACCAGTTATGTGATAAGATATAAAATGAGGGGCCTCATCAAATTTCATTCCTGGAGGGGTAGATCCTTTGTGAAAAAGTGTAACCATAGATGTTTACATTAAAATCTTTGGATAGCTCACAATAGTTAACTTTAAACTTAGCGTACCCATTCTCCAACTAAAGATATTGAAATATGAAGTTCGGATATTAGAATTATGCTTACTAGTTGTGGAAATGTATAGACAGAAAAAAGATAA